GTACAGTGGACAGAGCTCCTTTTTCACTCACCTTCCCTTGGAAGTCTTTTTACATGATCAGCCCATCTTAGCTGTTTCTCAGCCTAACCATTCTGGACCCTTTCCCCACATCTTGCCCACACCCTGGACTCTCAGGGTACGTCTAAACTACATGCCTCCGTCGACAGAGGCATGTAGATTAGCCAGATCGGCAGAGGGAAATGAAGCCGCGATTAAAATAATCGTGGCTTCATTTAAATTTAAATGGCTGCCCCGCTCTGCCGATCATCTGTTTGTCGGCAGATCGGGGCAGTCTGAACGCGACGCGCCGACAAAGAAGCCTTTCTTGATCGGCACAGGTAAACCTGGTTTCACGAGGCATACCTGTGCTGATCAAGAAAGGCTTCTTTGTCGGCGCGTCACGTCCAGACTGCCCCCATCTGCCGACAAACAGCTGATCGGCAGAGCGGGGCAGCCATTTAAATTTAAATGAAGCCGCGATTATTTTAATCGCGGCTTCATTTCCCTCTGCCGATCTGGCTAATCTACATGCCTCCGTCGATGGAGGCATGTAGTCGAGACACACCCTCATTGACTGAGCATAGAGCTTGCCTTTTATACAGACCTTGGCCACCTGACTGCAGTCATGAGGTTCCCTCAGTCATGTGACCCCCTGGGCTACAATTCCCAGCCTCCCTTCAGACTACATTTCCCAGCATTCCGTTGCCAGTTACACCCAGAGATATGTAGTGTGCAGGGGCCCAGACAGCTACAAGGGGACTTTTGGAAGAGGAAAGGGCAGCAGCTTGATTGTTTGATCAAATTGGTATGCTAAGTTTAGCGCTTGGTGTGCACTAGTCTAGGTCTTTCCAGGGGAATGGTTTTCCCCAGAAAACATCCATTTGTCGAAAGCAGACGGTTTCATGGAAGCTTTGTGAGTTTTGACAAAATGTTTAGATGATGTTGAAAAGTTCTCTTTGGATCTTTTTGGAACACAATTTTTTTTGGGTGGGGAGCAAAACTTTTTGTTTAGAAATGTATTTTATATGTTATGTCAATTTTTTCAAAAATTAAAACCTCAGCATCCAAATGGAAAAAAATAACATAACTCACAGTGTTTCCCATGAAATCGAAAAATTGGGTTCCCACGCAGCTCCGAAGTAATCAGACCAGAGGGCTAACCTTAGAGCAGTAAAGGTCCAACTCCGTTCCTTGAGCATTAGCAGTCAGCAACCTCCAAAAAAATTGCAAAAATCCCTCTGTTTTTAAGTCAAGAAGGCGGACAAGAGAATTTTCAGGATGGGATTCCATTTCCTTTCAGCTTTGTTTGACAGCCAATGTAATCTGCCTTGCATGGAATGTGAGGGGCCATTCTCTCTCCAGTTCATAGAAAATACATTTTGTCCCTGCTCCAATACTTGAGTGGCATGTTTGAAACCCACTTATCACAATCTGAGCACTTAGTTTTAGGAGTGCCTGGGCCAGGCATACTTTCCATTCCACTTTTAGCTGCTGCCAATGCCAAGCAACAATTTTCTGCACTAACGTTATGTCCTCTTCCGCTGGGGTCACAAGTGGTAAAAGCAACCGCGTATGTGTACTGTGCTCTTCATCCCAAGTGCATTACTACAAAGACAGCCACACTTAAGCTACTGGATGCATCCAATCAGGAGTGGGGGTTTAGAAGACATTTGTGTTCAGGCTCCCCGCTGACTTCAACCTGCGGAATTTCCTGACCCGAGGCCAGATCCTCTACAGGCATAAACTGGCGTAATTCCACTGAGGTCACAAATTCAGGATTTGATCTTTCATCTTTTGGCTGCTGCTTCCTGCCACTATGCATCCTTCCAGGGGAACTAGGTAATTTTTGGTCAATGGACAAGAGTATTTTGAGGAAGAGGTTGCTTGGTAGCATTCTAACATGTGCAAAATGCATACACACACTCCCTACACACCTGGGTGAACTTTTTTGGTCGGCAAGATTTTTCCAGTGAAAAAAATACACGTTCAGCCACACGCACACACAAAATCTGAAAAAGTTAAAAATATGTTTCATTTCCATTCTTTTGAAACAAAGTATTTTGAATGGTTTTTGTTTGAAATGATTTTTTTGTTTAGAAATGTTCTTCCACTTGATTCATTTAAAAAAATTTTTTTAAGTGCTGAGAGTCAAAATGGAACATTAAGGCACTTGATTCATTTAAAATTTTTTTTTTAAATGCTGAGAGTCAAAATGGAACATTAAGGCTGTGTCTAGACTGGCCAGTTTTTCCGGAAAATCGGCTGCTTTTCCGGAAAAACTTGCCAGCTGTCTACACTGGCCACTTGAATTTCTGCAAGAGCACTGACTTCCTATTGTAAGAAATCAGTGCTTCTTGCGGAAATATTATTCTGCTCCCGTTCAGGCAAAAGTCCCTTTTGCGCAAAGTTTTTGCGCAAAAGGGCCAGTGTAGACAGCTCAGATTTGTTTTCTGCAAAAAAGCCCCGATTGCGAAAATGGCAATCGGGGCTTTTTTGCGGAAAAGTGCGTCTAGATTGGCACGGATGCTTTTCCGCAAAAAGTGCTTTTGTAGAAAAGCGTCCGTGCCAATCTAGACGCTCTGTTCCGAAAATGCTTTTAACGGAAAACTTTTCCGTTAAAAGCATTTCCGGAAAATCATGCCAATCTAGACGCAGCCTAAAATTTTGGGTTGGACCCAATGCTTCGTTCCGCCCAAAGCAGCATTTTTCTCAGCTTTTCAATTTGCCAAATAATTTGACTATTTTTCAGTTCTGTTTGACGGGAAACAATTTTGTTTCCAGCTTTGTTGGAATTGCCACTTTGTTGGAACTGAAAACTTCATTATTGACATAGCTCTCCCCAAGTACTCAACACTGCCCCTGAAATAATTGTTCAACATTATACCATAATCTGGCAAGGCAGTCAATTTATTAGCAGCTGATAACACAGTTCCCACAATCTCTTATACCCAGAGTGGACTTTTTTCTCGACATTTTCTATATTAAGACTTTGGTAGGCACATGATCTGTTATGAGAACAAGGTTGTGCTTGACAGTAGCATTCCATCTCCTACACAGCAAAGTAGGATAGATTCGATGATGCGTTCAAGCAGGATTTTCTGAATATAATGGGAGAGGATCCTCCAAAAATGCCAAATCCATAAAACGATACACACACATCAGTAGCCTTGTGATCACACCAATTGAGAATCAACAGATTACTGCCTCAGCTCCTCCCAGGGGTTCATTAATCCCCAGGGATTGCTTTGCATCCTGATGATGGCTGAGATGAGTAGAGCCCTACGCGGATACAAAATGTGTGTCCGCATCTGCATCCATATCCATAAAAATGAGCTGCGGATATCTCTGTCCATAGCTGCAGATGTCCACGGATTTGCAGGGCTCTGTAGAGGAGCCAGTAAGCTTTGCTTGGAGCCATCTGAAAGTCCTTGCAACCAAGCATGCAATCTTATTTATTTTCCTCCAGCCTCACAATCATTTTCTTTTCTAGGCTGGGTTACTGTTTTCATTTCTTTGGCTTTATCAGGGCCTTTAAACCCATCTAAGGCGAGAGCAATTCTTTAGATCCCAGGGTTGTCCAGTTATCCTGTCACTTCCCTGTTACCACTGATGCCTGAGTGCACTAATGTTTTGTTGTGGTTCAATCTTGTTGCAGAGGCTGCATTTTCTAGCATTATTGGGCACCTGTGATCAAAGCTAATAACTCTCTGACCAAGGCATTTGGGAATAATATAGACAAGACAGAGAATGGATAGGAGATGATTATTCCTACTTTACATGTGGGGAACGGAGGTGCAGAGAAATTCAGGATCTGGTTCAACTCAGCACTGAAGCCCATACCGAATTTTACATGCACAAGTAGCTCCATTGAGGTCCACAAAACTATTCACATTGCCACTCAAGTGCATGCTTAATGTTGTTCCCTGACCTGGGGGCTAAGTGATTTGGCTAGGTCACACCCAGCATCTGTGGCAGAGCTGTTGGGTATTTAACCAGAATCTCCTGAGTCCCCATGAATAGCCATGACTGCAAGACCATTCTTGCTCTCCTAAACACCAGACTGACCGAAGTCATAGCATACAAGAAATCAATAATTAAGGAAGAATTGATTTAAATCAATAGATATATTTATTAAAATTGACATATCTATTCCAATACTATTTTGAGATCTTAAATTCGTAATTAGTTAATTAAATCACTGCAGTCCTTTTACATAGCATTTACAAAGCCATTTCCTCTTACCCATGAATAGAGCAGATGAAGACAAAGAAAGGCCATGACTACATTTCCTGTGTCAAATAAATGTAAACAAAAACCCAGCCTAATTCACTGAAGTAATCGAGCGGAGGCAATTAACCTTTTGAGGGAGAGACGCTAATTGCTAAGTAATTCTGTTTTCTACTGTTTCATATCTTTGTGTAAGCCTGACCCGACCCTGCAAGAATCAATCATTTCTTTTGTGGAACATCAATATGCTCTAATGGTTTCTTCTTTTAGGCATTTTTAGGAGCAGAAGAATTGCCAAGTCAGAAAACCCCATTGGCCCCTCTACACTGGTATTCTGTATATGACAAATGGACAGGACAGATGACTATGAGCAGGTAAAAGAGTTGATAGGATGTTCTCCTAACCTCTTTCAGGGTACGTCTAGACTACAGGGTTTTGTCGACAGAAGTTTTGTCGACAGATACTGTCGACAAAGCTTCTGTCGACAAAGAGCATCTACGCTACATTCAGTTCTGTCGACAAAGCAAGCTGCTTTGTCGACATGGCAGTGTAGACGCAAGGACAGTTTACATGCAATAATGCTTTCTGTCGACAGAACTCTGTCGACAGAAGGCGTTATGCCTCGTGAAATGAGGTTTACTAGCGTCGACAAAACTGCTGAGTTCTGTCGACGTTATGTCGACAGAACTCAGCGGTAGTGTGGACGCAGGTATAGTTTTGTCGACAAAAGTCCACTTTTGTCGACAAAACCCTGTAGTCTAGACACACCCTCAGTTAGTTAATGGTTGGCTTATACCCTGCAGTGCAAGATTGTCTTAAAAGGTCTTCGGATGCAAACGGCTCTTGAGCAGCTTCCAGGCAGTGTTAATTAATGTTGTGATGCTTTTCAAAGACATTGATTCGTTTTGTTTTTAATTTCCCACCTAGCTCTAGGGTGGACCAAGCTTTGAGTGTCGGGGGCGGGGACTATGAAGCGACCACCTTTAGCCAGGGTGATCAGCCTTTCGCTCTCAGGCATCAAGACCCCACGGGGCTCAGTGCATTTTTGGAGGGAGGGAAGATGAGCTACATTAATAGCTTGAAACTATTGCACTCAGTACTCTGCAGAAGACACTGGGAACCCTCTCAGCCCTGTCCTCCCTCTTGTGCGTGACACAAAAGGGCTTTCAAAGCCCGTTCCCTAAATTACGGATCCATTGAAGAACCTCCTAAAGAAGCAGGATTTCAGTCAGATCAATGGCCCAACCTGTACATTGCCTCACAAACACCAAAATCATTTTTCCCCCCTTTCACGTTCTTGGAGCTGGGTGGCTGGTGTAGATCCACATTCAGATTCCTTCAGATGCCAGATGTCAGGTGTTGTCTGGATTTTATCTTCCTCCAGTCAAAAGGGGGGAGAAAAAGGCAGGCACAGAAAAGAGAGCAAATAAAACGTGACAATAAAGGCAGAGCAATGTGTGTATTTTATGCACCAGATGCTGGGTATTAACACAATAGGGCTGTGTCTAGATTGGCAAGTTTTTCCACAAAAGCAGGTGCTTTTGCGGAAAAACTTACCAGCTATCTACACTGGCCACTTGAATTTGCGCAAGAACACTGATGATCTGATGTAAGATTGTCAGTGTTCTTCCGCAAATACTATGATACTCCCATTCGGGAAAAAGCCCTCTTGCGCAAATGTATTTGCTCAAGAGGGCCAGTGTACGCAGCTCAGCACTGTTTTGCACAAAAAAGCCCCGATGGCGAAAATGGCGATTGGGGCTTTCTTGTGCAAAACCATGTCTAAATTGGCATGGACGCTTTTCCGCAAAAAGTGCTTTTGCGCAAAAGCATCCATGCCAATCTAGACGTTCTTTTCCGCAAATGCTTTTAACAGAAAAACTTTTCCATTAAAAGCATTTGTGGAAAATCATGCCAGTCTAGACGTAGCCAAGGACTCTAGGTTTGAAAAACTGAATTGGCTGTTTATCAGGAAAAACTACTTACCGAGAAGCTGCAACTACAGCTTGTGTTCCAGCCATGTGCACACAGACTGACTTCCTGGTGCCTCCTCCAAATGCTTCCCTCCAACAGCCTGTGGTCCTCCTTTCACGTGCCCGGTGGGTTGCTACATTGCATGCCATTGGGTCTCACCGCAGCTGGGTCCAGTCCCAATTGCTTGGTTCTAGTCCTATGGGAATGTAAGGCACAAATGGAGAGGCAGGGGGAGGTAATGAAACTTTCCCAGGCTCCAGCCAAAAACATAGGCCCCACCCCACAAAAATACAGGCACCCTAAATGAGACGCCACTCACAGTAGATTGCGCAGATGTGCAAAATGTGATGATGAACTGACATATCTGATGCATTACGGGTTAGAAGCGTCCATGTGGTGAGGGCCTCGTGGTGCTAATCAGCCTGCAGTCCTGAATAAATGACAATCGCTGATCACACATGCTCCTCTGGGCCCTTTGCACATGGCTGGCCAGGGGGAATAGCAGATGCTCTCCATGATCTGTGCTGATGCCTCAGACTTGTCTTCCGAGTCTGGCTTAAGGCTCAGATCGGCCAAAGGAGCTTAGTGGGGGCTAGTAGCCTAACTCCCATTTTTAGGTGACCACAAACTCCTGTCAGCTGCCATTTAATCCCAGAAGCACCTGAACGCACTCCACGTGTAGTGTCTCCCCTATCACTTCCCTAGGTGCCTACGCACCTGCCCCTCCGGGCACTGCTCACTGGGAACCCCCCATCGGAAGTTCCCTAGCTCAGAGTTCACAGCACTCTCCTGTGTGCTAGGAGACCCTTGTTCAAATCCCTTCTCCCTTTCTGGCAGAGGATGGGGAATTGAACCAGGGTCTCCAGCATCCCAAGTGAACACTCTAACCACTGGATGAAAAAAAAAGTCACATCCCCACCTTCTCCTCTAGAGGGATTTTGAAGAGGACCCAATCTGGCAGGTGCCCTCAGCGTGCCTCCTGGATCCGGTCCCGCATGTGAAGTAGGGGCTCCTTCACTCATCTTCCCCCAGTTCACAGATCACACTGCAGCTCAGGCAGGAGACAAGGCATCCAGCCACCGATAGCAAGGCAGCAACAAGTGGTGCCCACAGGCAGAAACACTGGTGTTTAGGAAACTCCCACAGAATCAGGGGGCAGCAGAGTGGGGATTTTCTAGGTCACAGAGGTGCCTAGAATGAGGCTTACATGCCAAGTCTCTTTGTGAATCTAGGTCCAAGGGCCAGATTTCTAAAGGTAGTTCGGAGGCTAAAGACGCAGCTAGCTGTGGGCTTGGAAGGATTTTCAAAAGCACTGTGACACCTAATTCCCATTAGTGTCAATGGGAGTCAGGCACCTAGCAAAATCCCAGTGTGCACCTGGTATCTGCCAAGTACCACTAGTGGCCACAAAAATCAGATGTCATGCACAGGAAACTGTGAGAAACTTCTTAATATCACCATTACTCTTCTCTCCTCTCAGCTTTGACAAGCGGTGAAACACTTAACGCTGATATTTCAGGTTTTCTCTGCCACTGCATCTTGGTCTTATTAGCAATGTCCTCAGCTATTGTTTATAGTTTATGAGATGCACTACTAAGTATTATGCCAATGTCCATCCCAAAGCAAAACACGGAAACATGTATTGACTCAAGGCTAAGGAAATTTTGGTCTGTTAGGGTATGTCTACACTACAAAGTTAATTCGAACTAACAGCCATTAGTTTGAATTAACTTTCATAAGCGAACTTAATTCGGACTAGTGGAGCGCTTAATTCGAACTAGGTAAACCTTATTCTACGAGGACTAACGCCTAGTTTGAATTAAGGGCTGCGTAGCCACTTAATTCGAACTAGTGGGAGGCTAGCCCTCCCCAGCTTGCCCTGGTGGCCACTCTGGGCCAAGCCAGGGAAACTCTTCTGCCCCCTCCCGGTCCCGGAGCCCTTAAAGGGGCACGGGCTGGCTACGGTGCCCGTGCCAGGTGAAAACCTGCCAGCACCCAGCCAGCAGCCCCTGCACCCGGCACAGCAGCCCTCCGCCTCTTCCCGGGACCAGGCTGGCGGCTCCTAGGAGCCTGCCCTGGGCCGCAACGGGTGGGCACCCACCTGGTCTAGTGCAGAGAACGTGGACCTCATCCACGATCTCTGCACTAGGCACAGGAAAGTGGCCGTCTAGGGCAGGAGAGCTGACGGCCACCCAGGAGCAGGTTTGCATGAAAATCAAGGTGGTCCTCTGAGACCCCCGACCCTGAGCCCTGAGCTTAGAACATAAGAACATAAGAATGGCCATACTGGGTCAGACCAAAGGTCCACCTAGCTCAGTAGCCTGTCTGCCGACAGCGGCCCACACTAGGTACCCTGGAGGGGATGGACCGAAGACAACGACCAAGCCATTTGTCTCGTGCCATCCATCTACAGCCTTCCACAAACAGAGGCCAGGGTCACCATTTCTACCCCCTGGATAATACCACTCTATGGACCCAATCTCCATGACTTTATCTCACTTCTCTTTAAACTCTGTTCTAGTTCTAGCCTTCACAGCCTCCTGCAGCAAGGAGTTCCACAGGTTGACTATTTGCTTTGTGAAGAAGAACTTTCTTTTATTAGTTTGAAGCCTGCTACCCATTCATTTCATTTGGTGTCCTCTAGTCCTTCTATTATGGGCACTAATGAAGAACTTTTCTTTATGCACCATCTCCACACCACTCATGCTTTTAGAGACCTCTATCATATCCCCCCTTAGTCTCCTCTTTTGTAAGCTGAAAAGTCCCAGTCTTTTTAGCCTCTCTTCATATGGGACCTGTTCCAACCCCCTGATCATTTTAGTTGCCCTTTTCTGAACACTTTCCAAGGCCAAAATATCTTTTCTGGGGTGAGGAGATCACATCTGTACACAGTACTGAAGATATGGCGTACCATAGTTTGATACTTCCCCTCCTCCTTCTTCCCCTGGCTTCCACCTTCCAGCTCCCTCATCCCAGGTTTCCTCCTCCCCTCTCCCCCCCTCTCTCTTCCCCTCTGCCACCTCCTTTTCCCAGTCTCCCCGAGTTTTGTTCAATAAAGAGAGTTTCTATTTTTGAACACACATGTCCTTTATTTTGTAAATCAGGAAGGGGGGCTAGGGAGGGGTAAATAGAAGGAGGAGAGGGAGGAATGGGGTATGAGCCCCCGATGGGGAGGACTGGGCTGGCTCTGCGGGTTCCTCGGGGTGGAAGCTCTCCTGCAGCCCCCCGATTGACTCCCCCTCCCTCCCCAGATGCCAGCCTGCGGCAAGTGCAGCCGGGCTGATGGCCGAGTGCTGTGATGTGCCGAGTGTGGGCACTCAGGGCACTCCAAGACAGGACTGCTTTGCAAGTGGGGAACCCCTTAGAACTGTCTGTCCGGGGTGGTGGTCGGGTCCCTTTAAGCACAGCCGTCGGCTAGCCCTTGGCAGCAGCTCCACGCTCTAAGTCCTAACCTGATGCCCTGCCGGCACTGCTTCCGGCCATCCTTAACCTCAGTTCAGGGTCCACTCAATGTGGACATGCTAGTTTGAATTAGCAAAACGCTTTCAAACTAGTTTTTAGGTCTAGATGCACTAGTTCAAATTAGCTTAGTTCGAATTAACTAATTTGAATTAAGTGAGTTCGAATTAGTCCTGTAGTGTAGACATACCCTCATATACTAAAGATCGTGCTATACCCTTGATATTCCCTCAGTTATCCGTATAAGGGTGTGTCTACACAACACCCTGAACTTGAAATAAGATACGCAATTTGTGTTATGCAAATTGCATATCTTATTTCGATTGAATTTTGAAATAACACGCTATTTTGAGATATCCCTTAACCCTCATGGAATGAGGGTTACTAGGATGCCAAAATAGCATGCCCATTATTTCAAAAAATATTTGGAAAATATTTAGAAATAATAGGCGGCTTGTGAAGATGCAGGGTAGCTATTTCGGGATACCTCAAGTATCCCAAAATAGCTGTCCAGTGTAGATGTACCCTAACTGAAGTCTCTGTCTTTCAAACTACATGTCACCGTAACCCCCCTCAATTGGTTTACTCTCTATGGTTTGGACCAGTGTCAGAAATGGGGACTTTTAAACACCAACCAAATAAATAAATGGTCGTTCATTGAGAACCTCTGGGGACCTTAGCAAAAGACATCTAAGAGTAAAAAAGATTTTGGACTTTTTCTGAAAGATACTGATGAACATATCTAGACAAAGAGGAAAGGACTCTGTACGTTTATAGAACCCCCAGAGAACTTTGTAGACTACTCAGAGACATGGGCACAAGTGAAACCTACAGATGGCAAATGTCCGAAGCAGAGATCAGAAAGCCCAGGTTAGGTTCTACATCTGAAAATCAGATTCTCTGCTCACAATGAGGCACGTCTTTCCCATCTCTATTTCCCTTTTTAAATCGTCCGATAGATTTACAGAATTTTTCTCTCTCTTCCTTATACCACTTGGGTACTGCTTCCTAGTCTCAGCTACTGACGTGGCTCGCTCTAAAAGCCTTCGATATGTCAGCTCACAGACATCGCCTAATGTTCTGCATTAAACTAGGCACTAAAGACTCCCAGGGACATAGTATGGATATCATATTGCTCCCGCCTTGCTCTTCCTGTTTATTTGAAATAAGAGAGATACAAATTAGTACCCTTGACATTTGCAGAGATTGAAATCAGTGGGACATAGGATTATTAACCAAAGGAGACCTTGTCCTGTTAGAGATTATTGCTACGTGTGATCTGATAGGTTATGTGGAAAGCAACCAGGCTGGCACAGTGCTGTACCACACAAAGCTTTGAAAGACAATGAGAAACCAGAAGTCAGGCAAGTTAAGACTGTGCTCAAAGAGGCTGATCTCAGATCCATTAATCAACAAACTTCCTTGTGGTGTCTTTTCCTTTAAAAAGCTTCATAGAGCCAAAGTATACTCGACAGAGGTCACGTACCAAGAGAAGGCAGCCAAGAAAACAGCAAATACCCAGGTTTCCTCTGCCCTACATTTTGTGAAGTCATTTACGCCCGTGCGACCAGAGCATCGATAGAATGGACTGGATAGTACTTTATGCTCACTTTGAAAAGAACGGATCGTGTATTAGTGTAATGCACTTGCTACTTACGTACTTAACGAGCCACTTGGACTCCTTGTGACACTTACTACCAAGAGTGTGTGCGCTCATACACAACTGACCTGTATTGCAAGCAATTAAAGCTGCTCAACCATAGCCCATGCACTCTATACTGCTAACAGCTAATGGAGATTCTCCTGAGATCAAGGGGCAGGGGCTTGTGCTTTTGGAGCAAGAGGAGCTGAGGTGTATCCAGGCTGTCAACATGTTGTGCTTATAGAACAGATTACATCCCAGGATCACACACCATTGTACAGCCATTAATTCACTGTGCTCCAGCCTATTCCTGGAAGCTAAGGACGACACCAGTCAGGGAATGGGTTTTGTTTCCAAGACAAATTCTCACTGGTTTAGAAAAACAAAAACAAAACTTGGACTCCAGATGGAGAATTTCCTCCAGAAAAGCAGATATTCCCTGATGGAAATTTGATTCAAATAAAAAAAAATTTTTTTTTCTTCCAAAATAGTTTTGAATCAAATAATTTGACCAGCTCATCCAACGGTAATACCATTAAGTGCATTTCGCAGATGAGACACCAAGAAGTGAAGTGGCTTGTGAGTCCACGACAGAGCTAGGAAGAGAACACAGGGGCCTGATCATCTTCTCTGCAGTCTCTGGCTTAGCCTGTGACATTCTGGGGGCAAGGAGCTGTGAGCTTTTGGTTTCTCAAAGAATCCTTTCCCCTTGATCTCCGCTGTCCTTTCTAGATTCTTGTGGAGTCTCCCTCCAATGAACTTTGGATCCGGCCCTAATTCCTCAGCATTGAGCTGTTTTAGTGTTAGGCCAGGTCTACACTAAAGGGGAAAGGCAAATCAAGATACACAACTCCAGCTACGTTCATTAGGTAGCTGGGGTCGACATACCTTCATTCGAGTTTCCCCTCCATCCCCACCACGGGAGGCTGACTCTTGTAGGATTCCCATACTCCTCACAGGAACAGGACTATCAGTGCTAATGGGGGTGCCCTCTGACTTTGATTTAGCAGGTCTTCACCAGACCCGCTAAATTAAATTCCGGAAGATCGATCAAGCGTAGATCTTCTGCTGAGTGAAGACATGGTCTTAATGCCCTGAACTGTGATATAGAGAAATAGCTTTACGTGGTCACGGAAAGAGCCAGCTTGCCACCCCACACCTGTATCCTTGCTTTATTTAATGTATTGTTCTTAAAGTGCATTGAGGCTTCTGTTCTAAATGCTTCTCTTTAAATTTCCACTTACCCCTTACAGATGTCGCTAGAGCTGAGACTGCCTATGCCACTGATTCAAATTGATATGTGTCAGATATATTCTTTTCTTCACTGTCTTTTGCCTCCACTGTGCTGCATAGATTTAGAATTTTTTTAAGCTCACTACTTTGCTATCCACCTCCACAGTTTTCAGCACTCAGAAACTATTTTAAATAACCATGCTTTCAGCTGATCCTATTATCATTTGTGGTAATGCTTCCCCAGAGAATTATATAATCTTCACCTGTCTTCCTTGAGCAGCAGCTAACCATGTAACCTACTCTACAACATTTGAGCTTAATTCTATTTTTAAAAACACTTGTAATAACTTCCCCATGTTGGCTTGCCGTCTCCCAAACAGGTCCTGCCTTTCCCCAACCTCCAGCAACTGTAATCAGAAGAAAATTGCAGACCTTCTTTTCCCCATCTCGATATGGGTTCGTGACACCAGCTACTTAGCTGATTCTCAGCATTTCAATTCTTTTTGCTATCACATAGTGGGCATACTAGGATTGCGACTTGTTTTTCTCTCTATGTTGTTTCTCACAATGGGTATGTCTAGACTATATGCCTCTGCTAGCAGAGGCATGTAAAATAGGCTACCCGACATAGTCAATGAAGTGGGGATTTAAATATCCCCGGCTTCATTAAAATAAAAATGGCTGCCGCACTGTGCCGGATCAGCTGATTGTCGGCACAGCGCGGCAGTCAAGACGCGGATCGGTCGACAGGGGAAGCCTTTGTAGACCGCTTCTGTAAACCTTGTTCAACGAGGCATAAGGGACCAGCCAATCCATGTCTTGACTGCCGCGCTGTGCCGACAATCAGCTGATCCGGCACAGTGCGGCAGCCATTTTTATTTTAATGAAGCCGGGGATATTTAAATCCCCGCTTCATTGACTATGTCGGGTAGCCTATTTTACATTCCCCTGTCGACAGAGGCATGTAGTCTAGACATACCCAATATGTTCAGCTTTTGGCCTCTTTGAGGCATGAGTCTTCATACACAAGGTCTACCAAAATGAAGCCCCGATCCCTGACTGCAGGCTTGCAGTGCTACTGTTGTGCAAACATAATCAAATCATATGTAGGGCTGGTGAAAACGTTTCCATCAAACCTATTTTTGACAGAGAATTGAAGGGGGGGGGGTGTTAGTAAACTAAATTTCCTGATTCATTGTACTCAGTTTAATTCTATAGCTGGAATTCCCTGGATCAGTCTTTGTTTACATTTGGGGAGTCCAGAATCATGGCATAATAACTCGAAACCTTCCAGAAGAGTAGCTGGATCCTTAACAGATCTGGGCCTGTGTTGCTGTTTAACATTTATTTTCCAATAACGCCTAGAGGCCCCATAGTGCCAGGTGCTGTACAAACATAATGAAAACCCTGGCTTCAAGAAGCTTACATTCTAAGACAAACTATAACGGTGAATGAGACGAACAAGTGGGCAGGGAAGGGAGAGTGGTCACAACAATAAAAAATAGGAGTTTTTAGCTCAGACTAGCTGCATACACCATACTTGCCGATCACCATTTTTGATTGGCTATTTGCCACTGGGCTTGTATCTTACAGCAATGGCCCTGCATGGTTTGCATAAGGGCAAGCGAGAAGGTGTTGCGTTCTCAGCCAGCGGCTCTCATGCACGTGACGCCGTAATGAGACTATAAAGAAAAGCGCCAGGCTAATGTAATATAAGTAATGAAGATTAATCTCTCCCCGGAGAGGAGGCCATCCATGCCTTCTTGGAGACCTCGCGCACCGTAACACCATGTGGAGGCTCAAAACTGGGTCAGTGCAAGCTAATTAATGGCAACCCTAGCTCGTGTTCTTAATTATGGGGCGGTGGACAGGGATTTCAAACGAGCGTCTCGTTTCTGTTCCAGCGATGGCAGGCAGTCCCGTGACGGAAACTGTGAGCCATGCAGGAAGGAACCACTGGCTGTACATCCAAGAGCAATCCTCCGGGGGAGGGGGTGCAGAGCAGGGGCCGCTGCTAGCGTGAGCCCTGAAGTGCAGACCCTGTAGAAGCAAGCAGCTCTGACATCCATTTGCAAGGATCAGCATCCTTTGCACTGGGTCAGCATGGCTGGCTGTGCAGCCACGGGCGTGGGGGAAGGAGGAAGACACAACTCACTATCACTTTCAGGACACTCGTGCCATGCCCGCATTTCCCACCACATTAAGATCTTGAAGATGCACAGGCAAACGGAGTAGGCTCCGTGTGCCCCCCACCATCGTGCACTTGGGCCAGGCCAGACACATTCTGAGCCTGTAGGTTATAAAGCATCCAAGAGATAGACATACTGCCCAGCACAACACTGTTTTATGGCTCATGCATTTGAGAGGGCCGGGACAGTTGTGGGTTTAATGCCCAGCTTTCGTGTGTGACTTCTTGCAAATCACTCGATTACTCTGCACCTCAGTTTCTCATCCGTAAACTGAGAACAATGGTCACTGCACCACAAGCCCTAATTTTACTCTTGCTGCTACCCTCTGCACCTGGGGAATTCCATCTGCTGCTTGAGAGGACGTATCAAGCCCTAATTTTACTCAAGCTGCTACCCTCTGCACTTGGGGAATTCCATCTGCTGCTTGAGAGGACGTAGCCCTGAAAGGTACTGAGGCCTCTCCACACTCACTGAGTTTGGCTGGGTTGCCTTGTGCTCCCATTAGAACATTTGTCTCATACCTGACAACGCTCAGCTCCTCAACTTCCTCCAGCGGAGCAAAACAGCGCCTCTGCTCGAGTCTTGGCAGGCTCTTGGTTAGGGTTAGTAAAGAGATTTTGGACCAAGGCTGGTATGTGGTCAGGACATTTTTGGAAAGCTGTCGTAATTTAGCCACCGCAGGTTTTTAGCATGTCAAAGAAACAAACACAGCACAGGATGTGGAAGAGTGTCTACAGATTGCTCAGGTTTTGCTGCATGTTCTCACTTGCATTCTAACCGATCTGGGCTCTGAGCCCAGAATCAAGGCGATCAACCATTTTAAAGTGACAGAGTTGATTTAAGTTGCGTGCACGGTGCTTGATATCTAGGAAGAGCAATGAGAACCTTTGATGTGAGCATGGTAGGAGCATCCAAACTATTTAAGTTGTCACTCTGGGAACAGCCTGGGTCTGATAAAAGAGACATAAAGTATTCAGCCAGGGGCTGCTAAATGAATTGAGTTTCAGTAGTTGGCTAAGCTGCCACCATAACCTTTGGCAAACGACAGGGGTCCAGTATAAATAAATACTAGTCTAAACAGGAAACAGTCCTGATGCCAGGAAGACAAGACAAAAGCAAGCAAGGGATTAGAGAGCATCAACTACAAGACATAATTTTGGACCAAGGCTTGCTAAAACCAACACGGAAAGCAAGGAGCAGCAAAAGCAGCTTAGACTTCACTATGCAATAATCACTCTGTCCAATTAGTCTGTAGTATACCCACAGTTTTTTTCTATGCCAAAAAATATTCTTCAGAAGCCTTCTTTGTTTATACCTGTTATCCATTAATGAATATGATCCAGATCCCCTGGCCAACCCAAGTTTCTCCATTCTGGGAGGACATTGGAAAAAACACCATGCATAAGCCACTTGAACTTTGTGGGACTTGAACTCTGTGCTATGAAAAATAGACCTTCAAGGTTATAACATCCACAAAACGCACCCTCTTTTTTAGGGAGACATACACGCCTATGTCCAGTGATCAAACATGGAGCCTTGGTCCCACTGGAGGCCTGTAGTTGACTTCATTGAGAGTAGGATTTCACTTCGAGGGCACTGGCCGTTAGGTGATTTCATCCTCCCTTGAGATCTGCAGGAAGGGCTAACCCTATTGGAAAGCTCTTGCCTTCAGTGATATAGAATCATAGAACACTAGGACTGGAAGGGACCTCGAGAGGACATCGGGTCCAGTCCCCTGCCCCCATGGCAGGCCCCAGCACTGTCTAGACCATCCCTGACAGACATTTATTTAACCTACTCCTAAATATCTCGTGATGGAGATTCCACAACCTCCCTGGGCAATTTATTCCAGTGTTTAACCACCCTGGCAGTTGGGAACTTTTTCCTAATGTCCAACCTAAACCTCCCTTGCTGCAGTTTAAGCCCATTGCTTCTTGTTCTATCCTCAGAGGCCAAGATGAACAAGTTTTCTCCCTCCTCCTTATGACACCCTTTTAGATACCTGAAAACAGCTATCATGTCCCCCCTCAATCTTGGGGTGGTGAGTTCTACAGGTGAGCTGTCAATAGTTCTGAGCTCATTAACATCTTCACACATGTAACTGGCTCCTCGTTATAATCTGGGCTCTACAAAAGTACCCTAACAATTTGACCGAGGTTGATATAAGCGGGTGTTCAGACTAACTGGTTGCGGCCAGCTTCGTTAGTCAATTTGTTGCAAATACTTTGGATGAGATCATGTTTCCACAAGGGTGCCAGCGTTCCAGGAAATTCAGTTCTCCTACATACCAGCACTGTTCAGATGGCTGAAGAACCTCGGTTGTACAAAATACACAAAGCGCTGGTATATGCAGCATCACCCCACGCATTGCTGTGTATGACTGCCCTGGAGGCATACAAGTGTTTGGTAAAAAGTACAGACCTTGCCCTGTGGTGTTGCTAAGGCACATGAGAATCTGGC